TTGCACTACTTATCTGACCTATGAGTCATACATTTTCACTTCATAGTGTACAAAATATTTTAAGCACCACTTTATACGATGATTATTTCTTAGCAGGGTTTTTCCTTAAAAAATAGCAGTCAGCAGGTAGTGGAGAAGCAAATTCTGAAATAAAGACCTTGTTCCTTTTACTAAAGCTACTTGGGGAGAAGGATCTGGATCTGACATGAGGCTCAGTCAGACGTGAGAGTTGAGGTCTGAGTTTGCTGGGACTTTCTTGTTCCTCATGCATATGTGTCCCCTCACTATTACCTGCTGGCATGTGGCTACAATCCTCTGCTTAGTCCAAACTCCTTGCCTATGCAGTGCAAAGTCAAACACGGCTTTGCAGAGAGGTAGAGGGTATTTCCTGGAGAATGAAATGGCTGAAAATGCACATTCCCAGACCCATGCGCTGCCACATCCCACCTCCTTGACCTCAGGAGGGTCTCTCACAGGACCACGATCCCACTGCCACCCGCAAAGGGGCAATGGTGTTTGCAGACTACTGGAGCCAGGGTACCCATCAGCCAGGACACCAGCATCCCAAGCCAGATGCTTCACAATGGTGTCAGTATGGGCAGGTCAGAGAGCTTTAAGCCAAATCTGGACCTCAGCTTTTGAAGAGAAGTGAAACTCCTCCTGCATGGGCCAAATTCTACTCTCAGTTACAGACAGATGAACCACAAAATAAATGGCAGTGGTGTAACTGAGGACAAACCCTTCTCCCACGTGTTTAGCCAACATGCATTATACACGTGTCTGGATTACAGGATAAAATAACGTATTTTATTAGAGATCTGCGTTGATGCTTTAAAGGAACAAGTTTCAGGAAAGATATTTCTGTATATTTGTAAATGCACAAGTAAGAGCTACTAGGTCTGGCTTTTCCAAGCTCCCAATTTTGTGCACTGATAACACATGAAAAGTGTCTGTAGGGAAGACATATAACGAATGATTAACCCTTAGATGAACAAATTTCAAACACACAAACTAGTCCTACTAATAGGACGTGACCTTGACCTCTGCTCAAAATGTAAACAAAACTTATTAAAAATATTTTTCAAGATTCAAAGCATTTTGTAAAAGGCTTTTGCACTGTCCATCTACAGATGCTCTGAGCCTGTGGATACTACTGAGTCCAGATGAAGTCTTGTCAGCAGAAGGTCTGAGGTGAGAAAGCTTCGTTTCTGCATCCCTCTGATGAGGAAAGGTGGCAGAGCCTGGTTCAGGTCTCGCACTCATTCCGGGAAAACTAATGAGTGCTCTAGGTTATGTCAGCATTAATGATCTCACAGACATCATTTCACTACCCAGACACTGTCAGAGCTCCTGGTGTTTGTTCTACAGCACCAGAAAGAAAAGAAAAGCAGTTTTATACTGCCTGGCAAAAACTCTGCCATAGGCTTTGTAGGGGCAGATTTCCTAAGCTGCCTAAGTAACTCCCACACAGTTCAGGAGTCTAGCTCACTACAGGGCATTTTTAAGCAAAAAACCCTACGCGTTATGCCACCAAAAGAAAAAAATAAATCAACATTTCAGATCCAGTTTTTTATTGTTAATTTAAAGCCTAGCTTATTTAAACATGTAAGCATTCATATAATCCTCCTTCTTTCAGAAATGCAGTCAGGCATGTACTTAGATCCCACATATTTCAACAAAGTAAGAAAAATTTATTTGATAGTCAAGCATGACCTCAACTAAATCAGGGCTTTTACAACTGTAAAAATAATTGGAGAACACAGCTGAACCAGAACGGGAATATTTACTCTTGGTTTTTGGGCTCAAGGTACAGAGGAAGGAGAAACAACATCATGCTAGGGGTGCTGATGATGCTCTTCCCTTCACTGCTGTGCTGGCTTTATGAGGTTGTGTTTTGGTAGCAGGGGAGGAGCTGAAGAGATGGCTCCTGTAAGGAGATGTGAGAAGCTTCCCTGGCTCCAAAACTGGTCAAACCAGTCTCTGGGCAGATCAGACCCTCCAGGTCAGTGAAAATGGAGCAGGAGGAGGTGTACCAGAGGTAAGATTCCCCTGCAGCCCCTGGTGAGATGGCAGCAGCCCCCTTGCAGCCTGTGAGAGACACAGTGGATCAGAGATCCACCCACAGCCCGTGGGAGAGGACCACATGCTGGAGCAGAGATGCCTGTGCCTAAGGGAGTTCTTAGAGGATTGTCTCCATGGGAAGGACCCCCCATGCTGCTGGAGACTGATGGTGAAGCAGAGATGCATCTGCAGTCTGTGGGAAGGGACTCCATGCTGGAGTGGGTGGCTGTACCCTAAGAAGCTGTGACTGTGTGGGAAAAGCCTGTGCTAGAGGAATCTGATGGGTAAGGATTGCATCCTGCTGGGAGGACTCATGTCGGAGAAGTTTGTGGACTATTTCCTATGAGGCGAGACCCCATGTTGGAGCAGGGGAAGAGTGGGAAGAGTCCTCCCATTTTGAGGAAGGAGTGGCAGAAGCAGCATGTGATGAACTGACCTGCAACCCCCATTCCCCATCCGCCTGCACTGCTGAGGGGAAGAGGAAGAGCCAGGAAGAAGGGAGGGGTGGGAAGACGGTCTATTTAAGATCTGGCTTTGTTTCTCATTATTCTTCCAAGTAACAGTTAACGAATTAAACTGATTTGTCCCCAGGCTGAGTCGGTTTTGCCCGAGGCCATGGTCAATGGATGATCCCTCCCTGTTCTTATCTGGACCCTCAGGCCTTTTGTTATTTTTCTCCTCTCCACCCCACCGAGTTGGAGGAGTGAATGAGCAACTGCATGGTGGCTTAGCTGCGGGCTGGGCTAAACCATGACAACCGCAAAGCTGATGTAGGATTTTTTTCCCTTTTTCTTTCCCAACACTTTTTCCTTTTCCTGCACTGCAGCTTACATCCTTCTGATCTGGATCAAAGCAGCTCTTTGTGGGACCATATTAGAAACTGTGTTACTGAAAGGATCTAGGTTAAAAAATAAAACATTTTCTTCCCTTGAAGGTTCAGTGGTCTGGTTTGCAGTAAAAAACACATAAACAGCTATTCTGCAGGATGGGATGAAATGAGCTATGGATGTGCAAATGAATAGCTGGAGGAGGGAGCTTCTCAGACCAGTTTTCTGTCAGTGAAAACAATTCACTGAATAGCATGCTAAGTTCAAATCCACAGTACGTGAAATTCAAAGCACTCTAGCATACTGGTTAAACAGTGCACATTATTTTTCTGTACTTACTGTGCCCCACCAGAGAGCATCTGCATATGTGGAGAATTGGTTATTTGCATCTTTTTCCACCAGATAAACCAGGAAAGATGAAAAGATGAGTACTAAAAATCCTATGTACCAGGCTGTGATTAACTCCTAGATAAAAGAAATCAGAGATCAATATCCATTTGAAAGATTGAAGAGAATGACATTTCAAGGAAGACATAATGAAAAGATCTATATACTTTTTTTTTTTGCATTTGAGCAGTTAAAAGTCAAACACTTCCCTATGGATGCAAATTTCCTCGAAAACTGGACCGAATCTATGCCTATGGTTTGACACTCCAGAAACTGCACCAATATACATTGAATTACAACAGCATTTCAAGGACATTTTCAGCATATTCTAAAAATTGTTAGTGTTCAACACAGCCTGATGTATCTGTGCTAATGCCCAGATTGCTAATTGTAATTGCTAATGCAATTACAGTTAATGTCACTTCAGAAAATTTTAGGTATTCTGTTCAAAACTGATAGATATTTGTTTCCTTGGCCTCTTGTTGAGTCACACCAAGTGAAGATACCAACCAGGCAAAATCAGAGTCTAGGATGACATACCTTGCTATGTGCATAAACTACTGAACCTAATAATTTCCAAGTGCCTCCTCTTCGGTCCATGCGCACCATACGAAGGATCTGTAGGAAACGAAGACTTCTCAGTGCTGATGTTGCAAAAATGTTACCCTGAGTTTTTGCAGAAACAACTGCTATTGAAGCGATGAGAACAATGATGTCTGAAAGAAATACATTACAGAAAACATTAATGTCCAAGTGCCAATAAATAACACATACATCTACATGAGCTGAATGAAGGGACAAAAGAGAGACTTCTCCTGTGGAGGGTGGGAATCTGAAGCACTGAGATTCCCATTTGAGGTAGGGATGTGAAGTCAGGGCTGGTGTCAAAAACTGCCTCGGAAGCCTCCAGAGTGAAAACTGAGGGTTGCAATTTTGAAAATGTATGGATAAGAGGAGCAGTGTTGAAGGACCCTCATGTAGGACCTTTGAAGCCTGATATAGCAAACTGTGCAAACCAGTAGATGGACTAGAACTTTTCCCCTTTATATCTTTTCCCATAGAAACTTTCTTATGAAAAAGCAACAAAGAAAAGAAAAGGTAAGAAAAAAAAGAGTAGACCCAGTAGTGAGAGTCCAGTGGAACCGGACTTACAAGCACACATACTAATTTCCTATGAGTACAGACACTGTGTGGTTGAGGCATGTAGTTTGTTGAGGTTGAGGCATGTGTTGTGAGGCACGAGTACACAACTCCCCTGATGTACCATTTCCTGGAAAGGAAGAAATACAGTCCTGGGTACTCAGAAGCATTTTTTGAGCTGGCAGCCTGGAAAGTTTGCTGAAGCCCAGCAAGTGTTAGATTTATTTCTTCAGGTCACAAATTGAAACTATGAGACCAAGTTTGTTCTGCATGAACTAATCAGCCAACTGCCCTTTGAGCCAGAACAGCATTTAGAGGGAGATGAGAAGAGGTACAGTGATGGCACATGGATGCTGTGAGAAGGCATAAAGTTCATTTATGATGACTGGGGCAGACACACCAGTGTGTAGGGATTGGAAAAGGACAGAACAAGCGCTGTGTTACTTCATCCCCTCATCATTAATTTTCTGACCTTCTTTACAAGCTTAAAGGGCCTTTGTAAGATACACCTGGTTTAAATCTTAGGATTTTGTGGTGTTTGTATGTTTATATGCAAGGATAATCTAACCCCATGTTTGCCAGCAAAGAACTTCCTGAAAGCAAGTTCTTGTTGAAATGAGTTTTCCTTCTTTTGTGTTGGATGTGAACACTCATCTTGTCTCAAGCATAGCTCCTACAAGTCAAGAATGACCATATAAGTGAAAGGGTCCCCCATTCCAGATGAGTGGTGAGAGAGACCAGCTGTACCTACAAGCAGGAGACTGTTTCCTTAGCCTGCTCCAGTACAATAGGAAATAGCCTTGGTTCGTTCTGCTCAGCCACCAAAGTAAGTCACATTCTAAATACCCTTGCCTGCAAACATCCTGGGTTTCTCAGGACTCACCTATGGATGACTTTTTCCTCTTATTACAACACTATGGGTACAGACAACCTGTGGTTTAAGGAGTGTCCTGTTAAATTGTGGAAATCTTTGTCACAAGATGCTAAAAGTTTACATGGGTTCAAAGCCAGGAGGATGATCTCATGGGAGAAAACTTAATCCCGGACTAGTTAATACCAAGAGCCCACTTCTGGCTCAGAATGTTTCCAAGTGGCAGGCTGTTGGACTACTAGAATGTTTCCAAGAGACTAGTTAATACCAAGAGCCCCACTTCTGGCTCAGAATGTTTCCAAGTAGCAGGCTGTTGGACTACTAGAATGTTTCCAAGTTAGCAGGCCGAGAGACTCTTATGGAGAAATATCGCTGTAAGTTTGCCCTGCTTGTGTGATCTTCCCTGACTGTCCACTGTTGACTGGTGTCACTGTTGGCCACAGTGTGTTAGACTAGGCTGACCTTCTGCCTGTCTTATGCTACAACATTTTAAAATACTTTTGGCTACTACCTAGGTGGATCATAGGTGGCTACTATATAAATGGCTACTAAAAAAGCTGGATTTGCTTCTAGAAGTAAACCCAATAAGTTCAGAGATCAGGAAGAGGCAGAAATGGATAAAGTATCCTAGGGCATCTCTGTGCAGTACAAGTCTCAAGAGCAGAGCAACCAGATGCAGCATGTCTGGGTGAGAATCCAGAGACAGGATAACTGACCAGGAAGAGTTAAAGACATCACAAACTCTAATGGAGATCAGAAAAATAGATGGAGTGGGATTCAGCTCCATGTGAAGACATTTAAATTTAGGTGTCTACATGTGAAGCAGGCATCTGAACTCTCCACACAGCACAAGGAAATCATGTCAACTGAGAGAGGTGCAGCTAATCCTCAGGAAGGCTCCTGCCAGCTGCTCAGCTGGCTCGCGCTCTGGGCTTGGTACAAAAAAAGGCTCCACTCAGCTGCCCAAATTTATTTGTCCAGTGCCATTTGAGACGCCCTAAGGTATCTGAGACATCCTCTAGGTCCGTCAGCTATGGTCTCAGACCTGGGAATGCTGTGCCCTTCAGGAGAAGTCGTTGGAGAGCAGGGAATATCATGTAACAGGGGACACCTCTACGTACTCCGCTGAACTAAGCCCTGGATCTCGACCGACTGTACTGGAAGTATAGACACGTAGCGCACACGTACCCACCTACAAGCAAACTTCTATATTTAGGTGTGTTTATCTGGATCTGAGACTCACACAAAGCGCGCTAGAAAGCCATGAGCAATACAGACTGTGTTGAAGCAAGAGTGTCCCTGGCTACTAACACGACGGCAAGGTTAGCTTGGCTTGTCCCACGCTGCTCCGAGCAGAGTGGCAATGCAGCAGACATTTTTAATTAGTGGTGACTGGCTAGCAGCGAACCAGAGATCATTAGAAAAGCAACGTGCACTCCTGCAAATCATTCTTAGAACTTAAAAAAGATTAATGTCACCCAAATATTAAGAATTATGCATTTGGTCTGGAAATCATTAAAGTGCTTACTGAGGGTTTTGGTCACCCTCAATCACTCTCAATAGGGCAGTTTTCTAACGATTTTTGCCTGCCCTTATTCCTTCCCATTCCAGGAGCTCTGACACAGAGTTATAACACAGAGTTTTCTGAACATTCCCCAGGGCAAAATATTCAGATTAATTCAGTTTTCCCAGCACCACACGGCGTCTGCCCTGGGCTGCTGGGAACCCTCTGCCCTGCTGAGGGTCTCTGGTCCCCTCTGACTGCGTGACACAAAGAAGGCAACAGCAACATAGCTTTCTTTTCCCTTTTTTGAAGTATTGGTCCAAGGGAGTTATCTACTTGTGTATAGCCTTCTAGATGGAGGGTAGGGATGAGGAGAGGCAAAGGGAGGAGAGGCTGAGGAAATGGGGGAGCAGAAAACACACTGGCACATGTTTAAAAAACAGTTGGAGAGGAGGGAAGAGAGCCTTCTCAAGTCTGCTGGTGTTTTTTTTCACATCTTACTCTCTCATCTTCTTTATCTCTTCACAGTACACCCCCCCAAAAAACCCACCCCCACCAACTCCTGAGGCTGGAAACTGGGAAGGAAAGAGTATGCCCATTGCCTAAGGCAGCCCTTCCTGGCTGTGTTTCCCTTGGAGGCGGGGAAGGCAGGCATGTACATTATTTCAGTGTAGTTTAACTTGCCAGGAACAGGTGTCAGATAAATCAAAATAAACCCCTCTTGCAATGAAATCAGAGTCCAAAGAAAAGTCTGCATCAGTTGAAAGTCACTTCTGAATATGTTAAACTTGCTTGGTTTTCTTATCTAAGCGTACCTGCACTGGAAAAATTAAAAGTACTTTATGATTCTCTCCCTGCAATATTTTTATCCAACGTATCTCAGGTGCCGTTTGCCCTGATAAACATAAGAGAGCAAAATCTTCTTCTGAACTTCCTTTCATATTCCACTGCATTTTGCTAAAATAGCCACAGTATTTCTGTAGTTTAAGAAGACTTTAACAAACTTCTATCAATATGTTCCTCTTCTATCAATATTTTCTTCTATCAGTATTTTTCCTTCTTGCCTTTTAGTGGAAAAACTGGGAAATCAGGAAGACAAAAACAAACCCAGAAAGTGGATTATGGGTGAAACCCAACTTTATTAAAGTGAATAGCAACATTTTGAATAATTTAACTGGGACTAAGGTTTCACTCCATATCTTGCTGTAAAGTAACAGGAAAATTTAGGATGTGAGAGTGAGTAATGGAGAGTATAACTCCAAACTTCTCTGTGATGACTTACTAGGAGACAAAAGTTTCTGAGGCACGTTTACTTTTTTGATTTTTTTCAAAGCCAGTATCTTGTCTATGATCTTTTAAAATGTTAAGCATCTCCTCAGCTGTGAGACTGATTTTATTCATTCTTTAGAAATCTCTCTCATATTCCTATCTTTGCAGATAGTGTCCTTCCCGGTTAACTCCAGTCTGAGATTTCAGATCTTCTCAGCAGCCTTTGCAATGTTTGCTTTTGAACACTTGATTTCAAATCAAATTTCACACAACTAATTCTTCCATTTCAGATCTTTCAGCTAGTACCTCTCAAGAAATCCCTGAGATTACATGAAAGTTTTTTTCATAGTAACTTAGTAAAGGCTTTTTTAATTGACAGTCACTCTGTTAACAACTGGACTCCTCCCTGGAAAATAAAAAAAAATGAACTGAGAACTCATGTGTGGGATAGATTACCTTTGTATAGTGTCCAGTCTCACTAAAATAGTGACATTTAAGTAAAGACAAGTAACTGAAGCCCAATAATGCAACAACTTGAAACTCAGGAATAGTTTCAGCGAGCTCATGAGAGATGTGCCAGCCTGAGTTCCCCATTTCACAGAGGAAGGCCAACGTTTGGCTTCCTTACCCTGCTCAGCCTCAGTCAGAAACTCTGGGTCACTTGGAAGAGTGGTTTGCATTTCTAAGCCATAAGCACTTCCAATGTCAACTCTGTGACTGAGAGATTCATAATGACAAAAAAGGAGGCATCATAAATCATCATAATGGGTTGTTTTATTTGTAATGACTTTTTCAATGTAATGTTCCTACCATGAACTTTTTGAATGGTGTGAGATTTTACAGTATTGAAGGGTATCATGCTAATGGGCCCAGTTAAAGATCTTAACTGAAATAGGCAGAAGGGTGAATACAGAACATTTGCTTGGATATAG